GCATGAAACCTGAAAATTGGGAACCCATGCTTCTGCAAGTAGAGAGCGACGTCCTGGATGCCCCGCTTCACGGTCATGGCCTGGTTGTTAGGTAGCCCAGTAGCAAACATAAGGTACGTCATCTCTGGGGCCTCGCAATCTCCCTCCGCCATTACCGTATTCTGTACAGGACACTCGTCATCGACTTCCCGATCCTCCTCTTCGTTGTAGATCGACGGCTCGTAATCCATGTCCCCATCGTCCACACCACCAGGGTCACATTCACCTGGAATATTTGCCACCTCAACATCAAAGTCAATCGTCTCCTCCGGGCCCTTAGGAACCTCCTCATCCCCAAACAACTCCTCCATCTCCTTATCGGAACGCTTATCGTCTTTGCTCTCATTGATCTCTGGCATTCCATCGTCCGGAGGGGGCTGCTGACCTGAGAACAGCTCCACATAGGCCTTGGGCACAACGTACTTTGCAACGAGGAGGTACTTTATGTTTCGTCCAGTGGTACCTTTAGAAGTCGGGTCCAGACCTGGTGAGATTGGTCCCGCAACATCGGCCGTCAGTACATAAGCGCTTGGATGATGTACTCGTCGGTGCTGTCGTCCTGTGCCCCTTGCCGTTACACAGGTAGCGCAATCTTTATGATACACAGCGTGATTGCTGTTGACGTGCCTTTTCCACTGATCCGCTGTTAGTGCTTGTAGATGAGGTAGTCGAGGAGCAACGCAAGGATCGCGGTCCCAAAAGCTTAAGGCCACTACCACAGCATTAACCAATCCTGACGACCACACACTGTCATTTTCACCACACTCTGGTAGAGGATCATCTTCGTCAATCCTTAGGTTGTTCAGGGCGATGAGACCATTGACATTTGTTCCCAATGTAGTCCTTGTCCTTGCTGGTCCTCCCGTTGCCCCTTGATCGAACGATACCATCCGCAGACCTTCTCGTTTCTGATAGGACCGCCACAACCTGGTGTCCCAAAAGCTCACTGATCCGTCCATCGTAGCTGCCCCTTCATACTGCTCCAGGCGGTACTTTTGGACAGTTGTCCACAGCCTCCTAGTTTCCTCCCAGGATGCAACTCCTCCATGACCGGTAGGGCTTCTGCTGGCGTCCTCGGCCAACTGAACCTCGGCTGCTCTAGCTCGACGCTGCTCCTGGGTGATGCCCTCGGGGTACTCTAACATGAAGGCTACCTCGCGGTTGTGGTTGTGCACACCTCCATTGACCTCCCTGCCAGCTTGCGCCATAGCATGGAGCCATATATTCGCGACACCAAGGATAGTGCTCGGACATCTCTGCTTCCTCCAAGGGCTCGCTGATGAGACCGATCCGGTGGTCCACCAATTATCGCATCAATCTTCCCCTCCTTGGCGCCCCACATAAGCATTCGCCACGTCTCTGAGCGCAGTAAGTCCATCCCTTGGCACCTTGCAATATCCAACTCTATCACAACTGTATCACCTTGGTCAAGCTTCATGATCTCATAGTGACCTTCGGCACCCGCAAATAGGTGTACCACCCACCGCTTGGCATTCAAGATCCTCCTCCGCTGAGCCCTCGTAAAGAAGCCCAGCTGCTTCATGATTGACCATCCTGACCACAAACCGGCAGGTGGGATCAAATTGGATAGACACTCCCCTGGTACATCACGAAAGAAGGGTGCATCACGGACAGATCGAAGACCTGACTCAAAAGTCCCATTCGTCACGTAGTCAAGAAGGAACACATCCCACGTCCTCTCCATTGCCACTGCTGACATCTGAACTTTGTCCTTGGTCAACATCGTAGTGTTCTTCAACTCCTCCAGCTTGCGATCCTCAAGTCGCGCGATCATGGTGAGCGCCTCCAATTCACATAGCTGTGGACATCCACCTTCTGTCTGTAGTGGAATCCGACGGCCGTCACGGTCCTCCAGGTAGCACTCAGCGGGACTCCAGTACATACTGTATCCGAGCACCTGTATCAGCTGACCCATGGGAACGATCGTCTGACCAGCGCTGCTTCCACCACACTGTCTATTGTCCTTTGAAGGTGGCATCAATAATGTACCAGACTTTGTTATCCGCATCGTCAGAAAGTGACTGCCCGCAAGCTGCACCGTGATCAGTTCCGCCTCCGCCCACTCTGCCTCTGACCGCGCAGTCCTCAAACTGTGAGTTGCTCCGCTGTCCACCAAGGCAGTGGTTGATCCCTTCAGCGAACAAACCCTGATGTCCTTCAGGATAATCATCTTCACCTCCGGCTTTGTCTTCTCTGGAGAGCTATCACCTCGCGCTTCTGCTTGGACTTGTACCACCTGCTGCGCGGCTTGAACCAGTGCCTCCAGGGTCCAAGGAGTTCCCGAGACTGGGTCCCCCAGCGTAGACGTAGCTGCCATGGTCGCCGAGGTACTTTGCGAGGAACTTGGGCTTTGGTCACCTCCTCCTCGCTGCCCTTTGGTGTCTCTTGTATCTCGTCCTTGTGAGCCCATTTGCTTTGGCGGCGGACGAGCAACAGGACAGTCCTTCTGTCTATGGGATTCCGCTCCACACTTTAAGCACTTCTTCGCCCTCTGCTCCTTGTCGAGTGACGCCATGCTATGCGAGTAGTTACACTTGTCACCTCGCCGGCATCCAGAAGCTTTCGCGAAGTACCTGCACAAGTCACCTTGAGGTCCTCGTGAAGCTGCATCTTTTGCCTTGGGCTGGAGTGGCATCTCAACCGCCTGCACTTTAGCAGGTGGACTAGTAGCTGTTCTTGCTGTGCTTAGGGACATCACCTCGAGTTCCGCCTGCAGGTGACGTTGATAAGCTTGTACTTGCTCCAACGTGGGCCTTGCATCCAATCTCAGCGACGCCCTCAACATAGAAGTTCGGAAGCTCGCGTCTGACGATGATTCTATGTGCCGCGTAGTCAAAGCCAAAAGCCCACGGGATAGAACTGAAGCATCTGGAGGCGTCATCTGCACAGCTTTGCACCTTTCCAACCACCGGGGCCAGGATCTCACAGTCCTTAACACATGTTCAAGCGTGTCGCCACCCGCAAACTCTCCCGGTGCTTGCAAACGACGTAGCACATCATGCCTTTCTGCTGAGCCTCCTGGTTGGTAGTATGTGAAGAGCTTAAACATCATTTTCACACAGTCGTTCGTGAACCTTCTCGAAACCATCTCGCTCCTCAAGTCAGTTGGCATTGCCGTAAGCAGCATGGACGACGCTCGTGCGTTGACTCTGGTCCATTTGCCTCCACACCACCTGATTGTATCCTTCGGCTCAATCGAAAGCTTTTCCAGCGGAGAGGCTGCCAACCATGAAGCATACACCTGCTCAACAGTCTCCATCACATCACTCCACCAGTCAGCGCTTCCCTCACTGATGTCACACATCGTAGCATAGGAAACCTCAAGCCAATCTTGAAAAGCCAGAGCCGAATCTGCACCGGTTTTCATATCCGGCATCATAGTCAGCGATATAGTCCCAGGCTTAACCGTCTCCAGCGATGAGGTAGTAGATGCCTTGAACATGGCTTGAGCTTGCAGCTCCTGCAGCTGCTGTACTCCCCGAGTCAAAGCATCCAGCACAGGTGAGCCCTGACCCTCAGCAGACACTGGTGGTGGAGGCGTCTGTCCTCGATTCCTTGATCCCCACCATGTACGTAGAAGACCCTGAGCTCCCATAGATCCCTGCGCTTCCGCTTTGGTCGCAGCTGGCTCACTGCTCCCTTGATTGCCACATTGTCCACGATCGTCACCCTGAGGTAATCCAGCACTCTGTGGTACCTTAGGACCGTGAAATACTGCATCTGGTACCTGTAGCCCAGGGAATTGAGATAGTGGAGGAGTATCCCGTCCATGTACTGCAAAACTTACATGAGGTTCCGAAGGGTTGCCTTGGGATACTTCTTGACTTCCTAATCGTCCTGGATCAAGTGGAGCATTGGCGAGATCACCCAGTAGCCGCGTTGGAGCTTGAGGTACTACACCTGGTAGGAGCCTTTCCTCTTGTGCCTTGCGAAGCTGAACTCTGGTGTCATCTAGCTCCAGCTGTAACTGCTCGTTCCGCTCCCCGAAATCCTTAAGCTGAGCCAGGATTCCTCCAAGTTGCCGCTGTACTTCCGCCTGAATCGCTTCTGCAGGTACACTCGAAGACGATGGAGGGGACGGCGCTGGAGGTATCGCCCTTGGTCTTCCCGGAGAAGCCAACCTGAAAGGCCTCCCTCCAGGAGGCGGAGGCGTGTACGGCGGCGAAACACCCGGATAAGGGCTAGGGGCCATCTCAACTTGATATGCTCCCGGACTCGGTACATTCCACAGGCTGCTGAGTCTCTGCAGCCACCTTGGCGGATCCACTCCGCCCAGCCATGCAGACTGCGCCACCATCTTCGGAGTCGACGCAGATTTCGGAGTCACGAATTCTCCAGGTGCGGCATCAGCAGCTCTATACACATCGCCTCGGTCAGCTGGGGATCGCCTACCCAGGTCCAGTGTCGTCGGTGCTTGCTGAGTTAGCTCCGCCTGCACTGCCCCAGATGTAGTCTCCACCACTGCCTGCACGGCCTCAGTGCTGTCTACAACCAGATCCAGCTGCGCAGCCTTAGGATGCTG